CCATTGGGTTTTTGAGACTGTAATCTTTATAGAAGTAGATTGCTCCATCTTCCTTCCACAGAGCAGCTGCTGGGCTTGAACTGCTGACTCTCTGGTTAGCAGCCAAATGTCTTATCCACTACATAGGTATCCTATCTGTTGTCATTAGGTGCCATCAAGTAGGCAGAATGGAACACTGTCCAGTCCTGTGCCATACTCACAGTCCTTGCTATGTTTGAGCCAATAATTGCAGTCATTTTGTCAATACATCTCTTTGAGGGTCTTCCCCTTTTTTGCTGACCCTTCACTTTGTTTTTGTTGTTGTTACATGCCATTGAGTCAGACAGACTCATAGTGACCCTTCCTTGGGTTTCTGAAGCAGTATCACTACAGAAGTAGATTGCCCAACATTCCTTCCAAGGAGGGGCTGGTGGGTTTGAACCACCAGCCTTCTGGTTAGGAGTAAAGTACATTTGGCACTATGCTACCAGAGCTCCTACCCTTTACTTTATTAAGTATGATATCCTTCTCCAGGGACTGGTTCCTTCTGACAACATGACCAAAGTAGGTGAAATGAAGTCTGGCCATTCTTGCTTTCAAGGATAATATTGATATTTTTATCAAAAAATAAAAGTTCCAGTAGTTTTTAAAGCTATTGATTCCCAGATAGGTATAACTCACATGAGTCCACGTAGAGCCACAATTATATATCACAAATTTAAATGAGCTGAATAGAAATTGTAATTGAAAAATGCTATGTGGTAAAATACTTAATATAGACCTTCTAGCCATAGTTTTTCTAATTCCCACCAAATGAATGGGTAAGTTCGTGGAAATGTGAGGTGCTTGTGGCCTATCATAGCTTAGTAATAATGTAAATGAAGGACATGACATCCTTGTTGGATTGGTACTATGAAAATAAGGTGTATGGAATCATAAAGTAGGGATTAGTCAGCTTTGCCATCCTGCTAGCTTAAATATGGGTCATCTTAGAATTGGAAAGGGGGAAACTGAATAAAAACAAAAAGAAGAAACAAGTATGGAGTGTGTTCTTCATACCCAAGATCCTGGCAATATGAATTTCCTCCACCCAGGAGACAGAGGCAGCAGTAAAACAAGAGAGATGGTGAGAGAGAGTGATAGACAGTAACGCTCTGTGGCAAAGAACTGGTGGTAGAGAAGTAGTGGCAGGAAAAACAGCAGAACCAGGAGATGTTTCAGTAAGCTTCCTGGCCTATGGAGTGAGAAAATTGAGCACCTTCAGTCAAGAAGTGCCTTTGGGTACCTGGTAGAGCTAAGTTTGTTAACCCACAGAGCTACAGCTTAGTGTCTTCAGTACCAGGTCAGCTTTTATTAACAGAGCTAAAAAAAAAAAAAAAAAAACCTTTGTAACACTTAATCAGGGTAGAGTCCAGGTGGGCCCAACAGGCATCTTGGGAGCCAAGGATCAGAAAGAGGACTACCTGCAGCATGGTTGAGAAGAGGCAGTCTGGATCAAAAAACTATAACCTGAGTCTTTTCTGATGCTGAATCGTTATATGTTACTTCCCCCAATAAACTTTATAATTGTGAGTATTGTCTGTGACTTCTGTGTGGCCATTGCAGCAAATTACCAAATGCAGAAGAGAAGTAGAGAGTGCCAAGGAGGGACAATTGACATCAGAATTTGTAAAAAGTTTAGAAGGTGAAAGCATGTCTGACCACTTCATAGGAATCTGTCTTGGGATGCTGATCTTGATCACGTTATGTGGTCAGAGGAGAGCAGACATCTCCGCCACACCATTGTTACAGGAAAAGAGTGGTTACATTGAAAAAAAAAAAAAAGAGTGAATCAGAACTTATCAAGGAAAACACATGTAAATAGGTTGAGTTTAGGATGTAGATATTTAATTTTTAAAAAATAGCATAGATAATGCTGTATGAAAATAATTCTAGGAAGGATACTACATGTTCATTAAATATTGAATAATATAATGAAATTAAAGTTTTACATGGAATAAATTAATAAATGTTTGCCTTGGATAGTGAGTATCTACAGAATGTGGATTGATGTAATAAGATAAATGTTTTACAAATTATATTTTCCAGTGAAGAAAATAGTTAGCAATACTGTAAGGTAGACTCAATATATTTCAGATATCAGGGCCAAAAATAATTGAAGTTGTTTTCATAACTTTGAAACAGTTGTTTCAAAACCTGTTTTCATATTTTCAATTCAAAAATAATTGAAGTTGTTTTCATAACTTCAAATAATTGAAGTTGTTTTCATAACCAGGTTATGAAATTTGGGAAATTAATTTAAAAATAAGAAAGACATTTGCTTAAATACATATGTATACATGTATACATACACACACATATATTTAAGACAGATTTGTTTGCATTTAATTAATGCAAATGCCTTGGTTTTAGGGTAGAGGATTTGACCACAAAAAAGGCAGCACAAATTTTTTTCAGCAAACCATGAGTCTTATAATCTGTTAGAAGTGAAAGCAAATAATTTTATTGAAAAATGAGAGATTTGTGAATTGAGTAACACATTAGCAAACAGGCAATGTTTTATAGTGTTCCAAATTGCAAGAAGAGAGTGAGATTTTCATTGGAGTAACAAAGGACTATGTACTCACAGGCAGGAAGAAATAAATGACAAAAATGTTATAAGGAGGTTTTTAAACTATAATCCTTAATATCATCATTTCTATTGCTAACCTCCTGGAACATGTTCACCTAATAATTCTTCTTGGATCAAACTGTAAACTCTTTCAACAAACATCTGTTAACAAACAATTTCTCACACAAGCTAAAATTTTAACTCTTGTCCCCTTTGTGCTACAAGCAATCTAACTCTTAGAAGAAGCTGAATTGTCTCTTCAGACCAGCAGCAGATGAGATTTTAAGCTTCAAGTTAATACAAAATGGAGTTTAAATCAGAT